AATATTTTAAAGGATACTACTATCTCGTGGTAGAGAGTCACTTTAGTCCCTTTCACCATTAAAGTTTGTGTTTATAGCATTTTGTATGTGGCAACGAACTTAAGAATATGGTTATCAAATTTTGTCATTAGGTTATTTTGACAAAGATTTGTATTTTTCCATATTACAGCAACAAAAGCTTTTGTATGAATATTTAAGCTTTAGTTGATAAAGAAAATTCAGAGTATTTTTGTTTAAAGAAATGTAACTCCATCATTGCGGATCCGCTCATTAAGAATTTTCACAAAAGTTTACGAGCATAATGCTCATATAGATGTGAAAATTATGGTATGTCAGTTGAGTGGGAGTTTGTATTTTCTTAAATTAGACATGTTGTTTTTCTTCTCTGCAGAATAAARAAGATGATTTATTTTGTTACTCTGAATGATTTTCTTTCTAAATGTAGTTTAACATAAAGCTAGAAAGCATAAATTTGGATCTCTTTAAAGAATAAAGTTGGACCAATTGAGAATAGACATGTTTAGATCACATTACATGTAATTCTCATGCTGCTCTTCCACACTTGATCCATGTCATTGAGTATATTTGGTGTGGTGATCATTGAAGGTTGAGTCGTGATTATACATGTGACAACAGCCGCTTTGGTTCTTCATCGATATACGAGATGGACCGGATTGTTATTAAAGGGAAGTTTGTTTTAATAGCATTGAGATGTGCACTAAAGAACTAAATTAATATAATTGCTAATAAAGAAAATTGTTACCCAAGTGAGAGATTGTTGGAATTAATTTAATAATTAATTCATATGTGAGTAACAAATTAAAGAGTAATTATATTTGGGCTATTTAATGAGCATACAAGTGATCTTAATTATGGGCCCATGACTTCCCATTTAGTGGTGTGACTTGCTGAGTAGAAACCAGCTCATTGATCCTAGGGGATTATGGGAAACCCTAGGATTAACCTATAAATATATAGTTATGGTCCTCAATACACTATGCTTCTTGAGCCTCTTGTTCCCCATCAAACAGAGAGTATTGCCATATTTGGTCTGGGTTGCATAGTTGAGGAAGACCACAAACCACAACTTCTTGCGGATTGTGGTCAATCTATCTAATGGTTTCAGGTAATTCTAATCTCTTTATAGATTTTGGTTTTCTTCCATGCTTAGATCCTTGGCCTTGATTGTTCTGGACTTTTATGGCTTTTGTTTTAGAATAATCATGAATTAGGGTTTATTTAATTTTTCCAACAAGGATGTCTAGGAGGACCCATGACGCGTGATACGTGACAACCCAAGCATATGGACTAAATAAGCCTCTAGTTACTTGAATCCAACCCAAGCATTGGATGCTCTTGGCCCTCCAAAATGGATAACGTATATTCATGAGTCCGTAATGAAGCTTCATCTTTTTAGGGGGTCTTTCATGTTGATTCTCATCTTCGTTGATGTAGGTTGACTGTTGGAGCCTCTCCTCTGCAAACGCCCATGGGAGCATTTGTAAACTCTGTAAACCGTCCCTACTCATATCCGTGTGAGAATTCGGGACACACTCTCAAACAAACTCTCACCACTACTACAATTGTGAGATTTCATGATACTGATGAACAATAAAAGAATGTCATAAATGGTAAAATTCACGTTTTTGGCCAAAAAATCGGAGTTTCCAGAATATTTTGCTTTTCACACAAATAGTTATATAAGTTTAGGGTTTAATATGATGAAATTTAAAGTTTGTGAAAATTAATACAATTATCAAATTTTTTTTTTGTTAAATTTTGAATTTTTTTCCATTCTTTCCAACTTTTATATTATCTCATTTATTAATGAGATTTATTATTATTATTTTTTTTCTTTCGAGAAGCAGATTTATTACTTTTTAATTAATTGATTTACATTTTTATCATTTATATTTTACTTGTACTAATAAAAATGTATACAAGTTTTATGAGCTGTTGTGATTTTATTATAAAATATTATAAATTTATATTTAATTTTACTTTGTTATTATTAATTAATATCAATACATTTTAAAAAATTGGAGTTCATCGTTATTAAATATTATAACAATGAAGTTTAATTATATTTTATATAAATTACTGTTGTTATAATAAAAAAATTTATTTTAGTTGATGTAATTTTATTTTCATTATATATTATTTGTTAATATTAAATAAATTGTTAGACTAAAAAATATTTCCTATCAATAAAATAGTAAAATTCAAATTTATTATTATTTTAATTAAAAAATTTATCACAATAATATATTTTGTAAAGTTAGAAATAAGAAAAGTGTATACTAGCAATTGCTATATATCTAATTTTTATTCTAGTTTCATATGGTTTTAGTGAACAACATCAAATGATTTCTAATTTCCATTGTCTCCATTGCAAAAGAATTCTAATAAATAATATCAAAGGAATAACATTGTCTCCATTGCAGAAAAATTCTAATAAATAATATCAAAGGAATAACATTCTCATTCCAATTGATCACATTCTCATCGATTTATTTGTTTGTTCACTACTTCTCTATTTGAGTATATCTAGTATTATAAATCATTAATCATTATCAAATAACATCATTGTAGGTTTAGTAAAGTCAATCCTTTTTATAAATTCTTATCTTGATCGAGAGGTCATGAGTTCGAATCTTCTACTATTGAAAAAAAAAATCACAAAATTATCCTTAATCTTCAAAAAAGTTCAATTATGTCTCTCATATTTTATATAAGTCACTGTTAATAAGTTTTTCGGTTGAATTTCAAATATTGTTAATACATGTATTAATATATTTCTATTAATTAAATATTTACGTTATGGTATCAATTTTTAAATTATAATCTCTCATTTTTCTCAACAGTGATTCAACTGAAATTAGGATTTTTTTTCTCTATTTTCCAATTTTAAACGGTATTCAAACGTTGCACATCTTGAGACATAAAAATGAAAATTTTGAAAATTGTGTCTCATAATGCTTTTAAATTATTGAGAGTGTTATGAATGAGAAAATCCATATTATACTAATTTGTGAAGACAGAAACATTGACCATTAAGATGAAGTACTTCTAAGTGAAATGGAACTCCACCTTACACTCCACTCATGCAAAGTATTAGAATACGTGTAAAAACATCTTTTAAAATGGAGTATGGATATGTTACTTCTTTTAGATGTGATTTTATGTAAATAATACGTTTAACAAACAATTTACTTTGCCACATTTCAAAAAAGATATCATGTTAATAACTTTTAAAAACATTGTATTAGCATGCTTTGATATCAGGTTGAATTTTAACTGAATCTGACACCTTAAATGGATGGATTATGACAAATTTAATCATTTATCAATATTTCAGCAGTGCTCTTCCATTGAATAACGGTCCTAAATATTGTTAAAAATAAACTTAAATGAAAAAAAAACCATGTTTTTTAATCCAAATTTTAACCATAATAATTGAAGTGGACAACTTATGCGACAAACAAGCACAACAAAACAATGCATAAAAAAAAAAAAAGGCACATGTGAAAATAGTGTGAAAGTGAGAAGATATTTTAAGATTCTTTCTTATCTTGAAACAATTTGCCAAAGTTTAGAGTACATCCAAAATAATTAGTAGCTGATATTTATTGAAAGGACAAAATTAGGACCAGTAATTGGCTTGAACAGAGCTACGAAAATGGTCCAAAGTGATCCGATTGAAAGCTCAACGACGGATGGCCACCACGTGGTTCTGGCAGGAACTTCACCTTCGTAATGAGGATTTTTTTTTAATATTGTTTTTAATTAAACTTATTTTTAAAATAATACAGATTTATTAGAAAAAATAGAAAAAATGCAACTTTGGAAACTTATTCCAAAAATATTGTTGTAGTAAAAAAAAAGGGGGTTTCGTCGTCTCTTGAAGAGACGACCATGTGGCGCCACGTCAATTTTTTTTTAAAACGGAAATGTGAAGAGACGACCATCTGGATGGTTTGGAAAAAATTCAGTAGTTTTTAAGTAAAAATGCTCCTAGTGATGTAGTGGGTAACCCTTCTATCTCAGGTTCAATTTGTCATATCCCTTCGAAAAAGTGTTGTAAGTAATTTGTCATATCCCGAAAGTATTGTAAGTAATTTACCGTATCTCTTCGAAAAGTGTTGTAAATGATTTGTCATATTTCAAAAACTAAAATGTATTTTGGATTTGATAGGGAGATTTGAAATTGATATCTTGCATATGAAATTGAAGTTTTACTATGGATTTGAAAACTAATTTGTCAACTGAAATTATGTTTATTTGCAAAGTATTTGAAGTATTCTTAAATGATTTGATAAAGTTTTGTTTAAATTTATTTAAAGGTTTGAAATTGATATTTTGTTTATCTGTGAAATATTTGAAATTCATGTTTTGGAATATTGATAAAGCTTGTTTTTTTATATATTATTATCTATTTAATAATAATAATAATTTTATTATTATTACTATCATTGTATTTTCTTTTATTTTATACACCCCATTTTTCCTTTTCATAACAATTAATCATCTCTTTTCTCTTTTTTACTTAATATTATCATTTCCATCACAGCTTCTTTTTTTTCATATATATTATTATTTATTTAATAATAATAATAATTTTATTATTATTATTATCATTGTATTTTCTTTTCTTTTATATATTATTGTTTATATTTTATATATTATTATTTATTTTTCTCTTTTTTACTTAATATTATCATTTCCATCCCAACTTCTTTTTTTATATATTATTATTTCTATTCTATATATTATTATTTATTTAATAATAATAATAAAGTTATTATTCTTACGATGGTTGTATTTTCTTTTATTTTATATATTATTGTTTATATTTTATATATTATTATTTATTTAATAATAATAAGTTTATTATTATTACTATCAAGGTATTCGGTTCGGTTCAGTTTTAATCAAATTAGGTCATATATATTTATAACCTCTTCTCTCTCCCTCCTTCAGTTCACAACCCACGGCGCCCCCTCCCTACCTCTCACTCCCATCTTCTCTCTCCCTCTCTCACTTCCAGTCTTTCACAGGTAATCCACGCCGCCCCGTCCATTCCTCTTACTCCCTCCCTGTCTCTCTCTTTGAACGAACCTCGGCGACAAGCAACATTTTCTACCGGCGGTGACACACGACGGGAATCGGAGACCTTGAAGTCGCGGCGGTGGAGGTGGCGGTGAGCTTGTTTGAGACGTTGGAGTTGTTTCGGTCGGAGGATTTGAGATAGGAGATGGAAATCAAAGGTGGTTGTTGATTTTAGGGGTTTTTGAGCAATAACCATATGAAATTTCTCAACCAAAACGTTGATTTCATTCCTCTATTTTTGTTTTTTTGAAAAAAAAGGAAAAAATTGACCCAAAAAATGTAAGAGTGTGTTTCTTTTGAAAAAACAAAAAATAATTGGATATATTTTTATGGTTTTTTGTTTCATGGAAAACAGGGAAAAATGGTAGGGTTAGAAGGATAAGGAAGAGAAGGAGGAGGAGGGAAAAAAACCCGAATTCAATTCGGGTCGGGTTGATTCGGTTTTGACCCGAAAAGTTTCGGTTCGGGTCGATTTTCCCCAAAACCCGACCCGACCCGACCCGAACCGATTACACCCCTACTCCTACCCATTACAGATAAACCACAAGAAACCCCAAAGCAAACTCTTAACTTCTATATATTTTACTCTCTCATTCACCCTACGGGAAGACCCTATTTCTTCTATTACCTGACCAGCCACTAACTCACACTTTAAACTCTTTATCTAAAGTCATATTTTCAATCTCAACCATAAATAGTAAGAGCGTTCTTGAACATTGAGAAACTCACAACTCCCAAAATGACTTCTTATTTCATAAAACCCACAAATTTACAATAATTTTTTTTACATCTTAAGGATCTCAAGCTTTAATCTTTAAAAACTTACCAAATCTCAACACTAAATTGAATCTTCTTCTCTGCTCCATTTCCTTTCATAATTCTGTTCTTTCTCCTTCCTTTTGAAACCACATAGCATAAGAGGTTTCTCTCTCTCTTTTTCTTTTTTTTTTTCCTTTCTTTTCTTATTTTTTAATAAACCATATGTCACCACCAAACCATCCACCCATCACACACATGTTCACAAAACCAAAATTTCATTTTTTTTCCTTTTTTCCTTTTTTTAATAACTTTGGAGGTAAAAGGCCAAAATACCCCCTACAAATACCATAATTTCCAAACAACAAAATTTTCTTTTTCTTTTTTTTTTTTAAGAACAAAATTATGAAATTGTCCTCACAAATTCACTAAAAAACAGGTACGAAAAACCCTCAACTAATAATAAGTGATATCTCATAAGGTGATTTTTTTAATACTCGCATGGAAGAGAGTACTTATGTCAATTCCCATATTAATGAGATCACAAATTGAATCAATTAATTAGCACCAGTTAAAATTACTTTTAGTGAGAAGTGAATATTTTGTTTCTAATATATTTACCTGAAAGTTGGGAAACGATGAAGATTGTAATGTCCAATTCGTTAGGGGACAAATCTCTCGAGTATTCAGAAATTTGTGATGCGGCAATTATGGACGAAATTTCACAGAAAAAGGAGTGGAAAATAATATACTTCCAAACAAGACTCGTCATTCGCCTTTAAAAAAGGTAAAGAGAAGGTTGTGACTGATGACCGACAGCAAAACCATAATAGGGTTAATCAAAAGAAAGAGGTCGAATGATTTCACTACAACAAAAATGGCCACATCAAGAAAAAATGTAGAATATTAAAGGAGGATCTGAAAAGTTATATGATGGAGGCAAATGTAGTTGTGAACGATGCCCTCATCTATGTTGAGAGCAACACAAAAACAGGAAGCCAATCATCAAAGTGGGTAATAGACAACACAACTTCAATTCACATATCTTCAAATAAGAGATTATTCATATGCTTCAGATGAGGCAATCGCGGCCTCGCGAGGATGCGAATGGAATGTTTTCATAGACTAAAAAGATTGGAAATATACGATTGAAGACCAATAGTGAGACTGAGTTATAACTGCTAGATGTCAGGTATTAATTACCTAGTATCATAATAAACTTTATCTCTACAGGTAAGTTGGACAATGATGTTTATCATAGTGAGTTTGGTGGAAAGCAATGGAAGCTCACCAAAGGATCCAACTTGGTGGTAGTTGGACACAGAAGATCCACAATTTACATGACACGATTGAGTGTTGCCATAGAATCATTGAAACAATGGATGCAAGTTGCAGATGGTGTCCAAAGAGGTAGGATTGAGTCAGCAACAAATACAACCAGAACAGATTAGGAGGATCTGCCATCAATTTAGGAACAACAATTGGGAAGTTAAAGAACAAAATCAGGTTCTTTAGGTTGTCAGAGATTATTCCCAATTGTCAAACAGATGGGTGAAGTGATGAAGTCGCATTAGCGAATAGTTGCATTAGAGAAGATGAACTCAGTAGGTGCTGAGGTAAATAGTGGAGTTTCAATTATGGCAGCAAGCTGGATAGAGTTGTCAAGTCATCATTGGGGAGTTATTTCTTAAAGAATCAGTGTTTGAGAAATAAGAAGCTTCAGATATTATCACTTAGTTTGAGTGGGAGCACGTGACTGAATCTTTTACGTCTGGGAGACAATACCACGTAGATTGCCTAACCATAGGCCACTGACAGATGTGAGTAGTGGTTTACGATATTTTATTTTACAAGTTTTAAACTTGAGAAGCCTTTAAATTTTTTCAAGAAGATCAAAAGTTAATGTAGAAGAGCCTTGGAGTTTTCCAAGATTGTTAGAAACTGTTGTTGTGGTGGGAGACAAGATTGATGTTTTGTCTCGAAACGAGAGATTGTTGGGTTAATGGAGCCAAAATAGGAGAAAATTAAATCGAATACCCGGGATAGGAGGCCGAAGCCGCAGCGCCTAGGCACCAACCTTAGCACCACGGCGCTACCATAGAGCACCGCGGTGCTACAAACCCAGGAGGTGTGACTGCAGCGGTGAGCTGTCGAGAAGGCAGTGCCTCGACACTATATTCGGGGGCCTAGGCATTGGTCACAACACAGCGGTGTTGTCGCAACCTCCCTCCTCCCCTCTAATTCGCGATTTCATCTCATTCTGTTGCCCATCCCGCCGTTTGTCGTCCGCCCGTCACCGCCGCCACATCCACTCAGCTTGCTTCTGGTAGTTTTATTTTGATTTTGAACATAGACTTTGTGACTTCTATTTGAAGAATTTGACATGTTTAAGTCCCAGATTGAACCCGATTTAAACGAAGACCTTGTAGATAGTTGGGAAACCAACAATGTTAGCACTGTACAAATCGCTCTCTTTATCTTGCTGATTTTGTTAAGTTGTTTTCGGTTTTCAAGTTTTGTGTTATGATGAATTTGATCGTTTGTACTGATTTTATTTCAAATAAAATAGATGTTAGTTTATTTTTACTTCATCCCGAAATCATGGGATAGAGATGTTGACGGGTCTGTTTGCAATTTTTGTTTCCTTCTCAGGAAGATTTTGAATATGGAAAATACGATGGACATCACACTGATTATAAAGGCTAGAAAAAATGTTAGTTCATTTACATATGTAATTGAGTTTATTTCCACTGCCTATTTGGAACTTTAGCAGAACATTTGACTGTTAGAATTGAGAAGCATTTCTTTATGTTTTTTAGATGAATTTTTCCTGCTCGGGCCGAGTGGAGTTTGGATTCAATCCTTTGACGATGTTTCTGATTTTTGGAGCTGTGTGCATTCGTTGTCCACATAGGAATAATACATGCAAACGGATAAAAACTGAAATGTAATTGAAATTGTAAGATTCTGAATTATAATGCCAAGTTTGGATTCTAAATCTTGTGTATGTGATGATGTACTGAATTAAGATATTGGAACTCTTGTGGCTGAGTTATGTGGCATTCCTAAAGTAAACAACATCTCTAATAGCCGTTGGCATCTTGGTTTGGTCTTAACTCAATTACAAATGCCTTTGATCATGTTTTATCATGTTGGCTAAGGGTTCTTTCTGTTGAGGTTTTGATCTGGTGGTATCTAGTTTGTGCTCATGTTTTGTAACTATTATTTGTGATATGGATAATATTTGAGATTTTGGCTTAATTATAGGTTGTAATCATCGTTTCATTTGTGGGTATGGGATAGCTATAAGTTTTTGTGTTTATTTGAGTTGTAATTATGACCAAAGTTTTTTTTATCACTTTTGAAACTAAACTTAGCATATTTTTGAACTAAATAATTTTGGCAACATAAATATTTGCAGGTTAAGAATTCATTATTTAATCTTATAACACTGTTTACTTTTTATATAGGTGAATAAAATAACATAAACTCATATTTTGATCGGTCTCTGATTTGTTATACTTGTACTATTTGCATAAATCAGTTCAACTAATTTAGTTGGAAACTGATTTTATTTTATACATGGATTTTTAAAGTAATTTATTTATGTAAAGGTTCATAATAGTTTTGTTTTGATTTTTTAGGTACTTTTGATGCTACGCTTCGTCTAGGCTTCACATGCTATACAACTAAGGAGATTTACTATTCTTCAAGTGTACGTGCAACTTTTGCAAGGAGATTTACTATTCTTCCATAGTTGTGTTCTTGGTGGTGTTTGTCATTTGTATTTGTTGAATTCAAACAATTTGTAAGACCATGTTATTTCACTACAATGTTTCATATTTGTATTTGTTGAATTCAAACAATGTTTTAATATATTGCGTTTAATATCAATTTCAAATTGTTTGATATTTTGGATATGATTGAAAAATCAATTTATCATTAGGTCCCTGAATATGGTCCAGATTCAAATTAAAATGCTTTTTTTAATAAAAGGCATATCCCGACGAACAGTGAAAAATTGTCGAGAATAATGAAAACGTCGGGAAAAAGGTTTTTTTGCTACGAAATTTGAGAAACCATCGGGAAAAGCCATTTCTCCTGGCGCTTTCTAAACCGATGTTTTATAAACTGACGTTTTCTAAACTGTCGAGAAAGATGCTTGAGAAAACGTCGGGAAAAATCCTTTTCCCGACTTTTTCTCAAATTTCATTGGGAATGACATTTCCCGCTACACTTTGCCAGAAGTTTTTTTTCCTGATAAAAAATATTTCATCAGGAAAAGTTAATCCTGACATTTTTAAGTCTTTCCTCGATATTTTGAGGCGTCGGGAAAACTCAAATTTCTTGTAGTGGAAGATACGATTGTGATGAGAAATAGTCAGCGTAGATTTGTGTAGGGGAAAGAGAAAAATGAATCAATGATCAGAGAGAGTCCGAAGGGGGCAAGAGAAAAACATTCGCAGTTTTGCCGAAGGTGACTCCGAAGGTGACCAAGCTCACAAAGACCTATTTTAAGTCTATCCATGCCATTCCCGTGAAGACGCGCATGACAAAGTTGTTATTTACTGACTCAGCTCTGATTAAGTGGGTTGTACGAGTTAATCAAAGACTTCTCTGACTCTAGTAGTCAGTCTGCCGAGCAATGTATCACTCTGACTCTAGAAGTTAGTTTGCCGAGCAATATATGATTCTGACTTTCCTTGGTCTGTTTATGCTTTGAGGTCATATTATAACACTTACAAAATTTTCATTGCAGAGATAATGTTGCCGACCATGTTTTCCAGAGTGAAAAGAAAAGAGTCCATGGAGTCTAGCTTGATTCCAACATTGGCGGAAACTTCTAGCTTGGTGATCCCTCTTCTCGTGGTTCAAGCTAAGTTCCAGCAACCATGGTGATCGATGAAGAGATCGTGATAATGTGCCTCCTCTTCGAGTCGTGATTGCTAATCCTTCCAATAATGATAAGGAGAAGCACCAAGGGTCGGAGTTCGCAACTGTCGAGGTGATGGAGCTTGCCTCGAAGATAGATCTGATTGAGGCCCACCAAGACTTCAAGCTGCACTTCTGAGCTAAGATTGTGAGTGGGGGAATCCTAGTAACCGTTGAAAAGGTTGCGAAGGACGATTATGATAGGAAGGTCCAACGCCATAATCAGGCCATGACGCCCATTACAGCCAACTTGCAAAGGGCTATTGACCTGACTGCTGACGTAAGTGATAACTCTCCATAAGAGTGTGTTTTGTAGCATAAATTGGGCAATTTTGAAGTGTAAACAGAATGGTTCTTTGGTTAACTATAAAAAAAAAAAGAGAAGCATTTGGCTAAGTAGGTGCCTAATCAATTAGAATTCTTGACATCCTAAATTTGAATGAAGTTGAGCTTAATTTTTGATATTTTGGACAGGAATTGTAGAATTTGGGATGACTAAGCTAGTGCTGCAAAAACTGCCGATGACGATGCTGGAGCGGGAATGAAAGAGTTTCTATGTGGGAGCCTGTGGAACCTAACGGATGCTCTAGCATATGTGACTGTGGAGTAACTAATTTCAGCAGTTTTTACCATGTTCGTACAACTTCCAGGTGTTGCCATAACTTTAAAGGCCTGATATAAAAGGAGAATAGTGCTTAGCCGCTAGGAGGAGACACAAAACAGAGAATCAATTTGGGCATCAAAATTAGAGAACATTCCTCACCCATTTTCGAGGAGGAAGCTGACTGTAACGCCCCGCGTTCTCTGACTCGTTTATTTTATGATTTAAAATTTTGCCTTTGGATTTCTTCTTTTTCCTCGTTAAGTGAAATTATTGGAACTTCTTATTTTGGAGTTTTAATTTTGAATAATTTCGAATCGAGTTATTTTCGTTTGATTTAGATAATTAAGTCCTAAAATTTTGAAAAGAGATTTTAATTAAAACTTAATTAAACTTTTGGAAATTTAATTTTTCCTCTTGGATTTCATTTTGGATTGTTGTGGGTTTTATTTGATTTTTAGAGTGTAATTTTGGGGCTTATTGGTTGGACCATTGTGGTTTTAGTTGGGCCTCCTGTAACAACAAGAAATTCAAAAAAAAAAAAAGAAACCCTAACAACATCTTGTTCTCTTTTTCCCCTTGCCA